CATGAAGGTTTGCGACAGCGATCAAGTTTCAATCTTCTCAAAGAGGAACTACAGTGCTCACTTTTGAGGTTACCTTTGAAGGCTGCTCCAAAGGAATAGCAACATGGAAGAAATCTACACATTTACTTAAAAAGATCATCCACAGCATGGTACCCCTCAGAACTCCACAGTGGGGACCCACTGGCTTCCAGATGAAGTTCAAGGTTCACATAACACTGATAATGACCTTGTTCCTCATGTTTAGACAGCTCTTTTTGTCTGTACTTTTAAGAAACATTATCAGTCTAACTGGAGTAGGTCCATTTATTATTTATAAGACTAATATTGACCAGCTTCCTTTCAGAAAAGGATGGTCCCCAAATACTAACTGAACCTTGTAATGCAGAGTGACTGAAGAGAAAACAGCCAAAGTATTCAGGAAATGGTACAAATCTTTTAAATCTAATAGTTATTTTGGGTTTTTCCCCCTCCAAATTGGAATTCTTTTCATAATGACCAAAAAGGGAAGTCAGCAAAAAATCTAAATGAACTGACCCTTGCATATTGATAAGTAACACTTTACTGGTGATTAAGATATTTCAGAGACCTCACAGGCTTTCTCAGTCCTAAAGATAACCAACTTTCTGTGTCACTGAAATTATATTACTGATCTTATTTAGAACACAGCTACAAAAATTACTACCATTTACTGAGTGTTTTGTTATATGCAATGCTGTGTGTCAGGTTTTATAAACACTATTTCATTTATTAAAAGTAGAAATTTAAACTCCATTTTATAGATGAGGAATGTCTTGTCTGAGTTGCCCAGCTAGTAAATGACAAGCCAAGGTTCAAATCCAGGACTGTGAAACTGCAAACCCAAATTTTTACAACTATACTATTGTTTAAATAGATAGATTAAAAATCAAGTACAAGAAGTTAATTAAGATTCTACGGTTTCCTCATAGTAGGTACGAACTATCAGGTATAAAATAAGCTACAAGAATGTATTGTACAACATGGGGAATACAGCCAATATTTTAATAATAACTATAAATTGAGTATAACCTTTAAAAATTTGTGAATCACTATATTATATACCTGTAACAGAACATTGTACATCAATTATACTTCAATTTAAAAAATGATACTGTAAAATAAATACATAAATTTTAAAAAAAAGTAAAAAGATTCTATGGTTTCCTATTCTTCAGTTCAACTTGCAGACAATCTAAAACTGCCTTTCATTAAGATGCTTTACTCAAAAATTCTCATTGGGGCCTACCCAGTGCCTAGGAAGTATATTTTCCCTGAGCCAACTCTTATCCATCCCTCATGTCTCCATCTAATTGCTATTTCCTCAGAAAAACTATCTTGACCTTCTAATCTAAATTAGGCCTCTCTGTTATTATTCTTTTAAAATATCCTTCTTATCCTTTGGGGATCTTTTCATAATCTGTGTGCTGATCTGTTTAAACTTCCATTGGGCAGGGAAGTGGAGTATGCTCATCAATACGCCACTCCCAGCCCTGTATACCTAGATAGCAGCACTGTATTTGTCAAATAGAGATGTTCTTTTACTGAATGCATGCATGGAATGAATGAAATTAAGTCAGATAGTCAAGTACTTCCATAATATGGCCCTACTTTGTCTTTCCAATCACATTGTGCTACTTTTAGTCAATTCATTGCTCCTTGTGGAGGTCTTTGGCTTCCTCTCCAAGACTGTAAATCCTACCTTGTCTTCAAAGTACAACTCAAAAATTCACCTCCCCTAACAGCACTAGCCCAGACAAACCCAGCCTTTTAACTTCTAATAGACTCATGCAGCACTTGCTTACCATACTGCTGGTCCAACCTTTACTATAAACTGCTTTGCAGGGTTAACATACTGTTCATGCACGTAAGTCTTAGGTCTCCATCTAGACCTGTGCTGTGCAATACAGTAGTCACCAGGCACATGTAGCCATAATGTATAAATCAATTAAAATTAAGTACAATTTAAAATTTACTTCTTCTTTCACACCACTCACATGGCTAGAGGCTACCATATTGGACAGGACAGATGTAGAAGATTACCATCATCACGGATATTTCTGAGTGCCTTGAGTACAAGAACTGCATTTTATACTTCTTCCTATTTCATACTGTGAAGATGGTACCTACATAAACAGTGAGAGTTCAATAAATATTAAATAGAATAACAAAAAAATAACTTTCTGGATAAGAGAATGCTGACATGATCCTAATTACGCTGTAAACTATCTTCCACATTAGCACAAGGTCTACACATTAAGCTAATGCCTGTCATTGGTTCAAGTTTTCAGTTGTTTTTCCATTAGTATTCTCTAGGAGTCAACCACACAAATAACACTTGCATGGTATTTTTCAGTTTATGAAGTGCTTCACATTCACCATTCAGTAGGCCAATATATGTTCTAAGGAACATATTTACCTAGTGGCAACTAAGTGCAAGGCACTCTGTGAGGTGTTTTTCCTGTGTTTTCATCAGCCTCACAAGATAAAGAGGAAACTAAGGCTGAGAGAGGGTAACCTAGCCACACCCACCAGTAACAAAATCCTCATTTCACCCACTGCATCTTTAACTCCTACTGCCTACAGATTTCCAGACACAAAGCCAGTATGTTTACCAGGGTAGATATTGGCTAATAAAATTGCAATTTATCTTGTACTTGGAGAAAAAAGGAAAACAAAAAGTAAAGAATGAAAAGCTTTCTTTTATAATACTGAAAAATGTAATAGGTACTTACTTTGAAGGTAAATGATGCTTTTTCCTTTTAACTAGAAATACAGCCTACTTATTTTGGAAGTAAAAGCGTTAGATGAAGGGAAGGAGAACAGGCAAGTTTGAAAAGTCCAAATTATGAGACATTTTTAAAGATGTGTTATAATGTTCCTGAAGATATTATTATTGTAGGGAATATATAGTACAATACAGCCGAAGATTAATATTAAACAATGAGCTATCTAAATTTTCAAACCTATTTATATATTATTTCAAATTATATCAAATGCACAACTTAAACTTTTAAATCTTGAATGACCCAAATGTTCATTAATAATTGTAAATCATGTATTGATAGAGAGCACACTGATGAGATCTTATCATGAAACTACGATTCTGGGAGGGCAGGCATTAAAATCCTTTATGAGTTTCCATAAATATTATCCCAGAAGAGCTGAGATGTGATCCAAACTGCACTGTGTCAACCTGCCAAGCCAATGAACACTCTATCTCGTTTCTCCAAATATAAAATACTGATGCTTTTCTAGTCTAATTCAAAGAAGAGAAACTAAGATGATTACTGCACTTTTAGACTTCTTTCTAACCTCTGCCCTAATTTCTTTAAGAAAAATAACCCCAATGATGAGAAAATAGGCCCTTCATGTATCCAACTTTTTTTTTTGAAGATGTCTCTTATTCGCACTAAAGCTCTCATTCTCAAAAAGGGATTGAAAGACTGACATACAACAAGACATCAAAGCATTTTTTAGAAGGCCTAGTATCCACTATGGTTACTGCCAGGAAATCATTCCAAACACTCTCATTCTGAAAAAGGCAGCAGTCACAAGAGGAAAGGAAGTGGATGCTGTCAGAGGTGGCAGGTGTGTTTCGAGGCCGGCACTGTTTTGTTTTTAATGAGGCACAGTTGCAAGTCTCTAATTGTGTGCCACAAGGGAGCAAGACATCTGAGGGCATCAACCTTGAAGGAAAAGCACACTTCATTTAGATGAAGGCTTAGCACCTCTTTTAAGCAGAAAAGCTTATGGAGTTAGAATTTTTTTTAAAAGAGCAATTCATGTGTTCCGATTTAAAGAATAAAATATTAAAAATAAATTCCAAAAGCAGTTAAAGTGAAAATAACGTAAAATTTGATTCCATATTCTTTCTTTTGAGGGGAGGAGGGATGAAGGAGGAAGGATGGGAAAGAGCTACACTCTTGCCTTTTCCTTACTCTTTTGTGTAAGGTGGAGATCTATCTCTCCTTTAATAGTTTTCTCTTCAATCATTATATAAAAGCTTAAGTGTTGGTATCTGTCCGGCGTACTCCAAGTAAAATGGAAAGGAAGGAGGGAGACATGTGTCAGTTCTGTGGTGTCCTACATAAAAAGAGAGCAGTGTTTGAATTGAAAAAGAGTCAATATGCTCCCTGTAACTATGAATCAGCTAATGCTAAAAAGTATCGAGGTTTCATCTGCTTTACACCAGAACCAACCTGTGCCTACAGAAGCTACACTCTTGAGAATGCACTGTTCATCTTCAAAGCAAAATGTTTCAATCGAAGTCCCTCTACAATCTTGGGACAACTGAGGCGAAAGTCAAAAGCAGCTTCAAATTACCTTTGGCTAGTAAAGGGGGGGGGAGGTTGGCCCATGGAGAATAAGATGATCGGTAACCCTTTCCTACCAACGTCCGGGACGAACGTCAGAAGAGTTGTGTTAACAAAGCACATACAGACCAGACCCACACTGAGTGTACCCGTGAACCTTAAACGGATGTAGGACGTGGACACACGAGTGAAGTCTTTTGAGTTTCATGAACTCCTGGGAAAGGGGTGAGAGCGAGAAGAACCAAAGTCGCTACGTTTTGATTTTCCGAGGTCACTTCTAGGGACTCGTTGGCTCGCGCGTTCCGGTAGCAGAAAGCTGGCCCCGCGGCGGCCGACAATCGTCCGGCCCCGACCTCGCTCCGCCAGCTCGTGCGAGGAGGGCGCGCGAGCCAGGACCCTCCGCCCGAGGTCGGCTCGAGGC